GGAAGGGGGGGGGGCTCCCGAGGCCCCCCTTGTCCCCAACCTATCCCGTCTCCGTCTGGACTGGCATAACAGGGTAAGCAAATACCCGACTGGCCAGGGCAGTCGATTAGGAAGTGGTGGCAATACGCCGAGGACATTTCACACCCTCGGCACTTCAGGTTCCACCCACGAAAAGAAACTGATCGAGGACGAACTCGGTCGACGTCTCCCAATCCTCTTCACCCCGTTGTGAAGAGTGCCGCTCTGAGATTACTTCCAGTGGATTATTATTAATTACCCGGAACAAATCAGAAAAGCAATTGCCATTAACTTGTCATGCAACTTTTGCCTATTCCTGCGAGTGTATTTATGCACGGAATATTTCCGTATATTTACACACGAGTGCAACCGGATCCATCGAAGAAACCCTGCCGTTTTGAATTCCCCATGCATCGCGCCCGATCGCTCCGCCCTTTTCCTTCCCGCGCTTTCCTTTCTTTCGGCCGTCTGCTCTCGCTCGCCTTTCGTCGCTCGATGCTTCCTGATGTTTGATGATTGATTTGATGTTTCCTCGTCGCCCCGAAACGAGAGGAGGGGCATTAAGATGTTTGATCTGTCCTCCGCGCCGAACTCGTTTCGCACTTGCATCCGATCCCACGGTGATCCCAGCGGGAGGGGCTTGGCACCCGTTCCCGCGCTCGCGACTGTGACGCAATCGATGACGTCATCTTGGTCCTGGTGCGTGGGCGAGATTCCTGCGATCTCTCGATTACTATCAGTTCCTTACCGAACGCGATCGAGGGAGGAAGTGACCATAGAGTAGTCGGAGGATAATTATTCATTCAATTATTTCATTTCATTCATGATATATGATGATCGATTATTCATGATACATTCATCATAGTAGGGAGAGAGTTCGATCAGGATCCCCGATGATTCGAGGCGATGGAGGGCTTTTGCTTCACACTTGACGATCTTATGCGATTGGGTGGCAGACATCTGCGAGATTATTCGTCAACGGTCGGCAATAGTTATATTTTGCGCCTTTCGCGCGAGACCGAGGTGCTTCGCCGTGAAGTCACGCCATGAAGTCGAATACGCCCGCAAGCGCGCCCCCCCCCCAGGCGTTTCGCCGTTCTGCATGGAGTCGAATACGCTCAGAAACTCGCGCCAACGGCAAGGCTGCCTTCCGCTTTCCTTCCGCAGTGCTGGTTCGGGCGAGGAGTGAAGTGCGAGGAGGTCGGGGAGTGGCGGAAGATCTACACGATCATCGGGGTCTGCTACTCCTTCAGGAGACGTGAGTCCGCCGAGGTCCATGTCGTTTTGGGGGGTTCAGGGGGGTCGGCGGGGTCCCGGCAGCGAGGGGGTCTGGGTTCTCGGGGAGAAATGTGGGCTCGGGTTGACTTCTGTCGTCGGTCGTGCGTGACCGGTCAGGGCCGGTAGGCGTCAGAAGTCTCCTTTGTCTGGGTTAATTTTCTATGTATGTTCAAGGAGGAAAAAAAAATTCGAAGCAGAAAATGATCAGTTCAAAGTAGTTTCCAAATGCTCGGGTGAAGCACCCTTGGCTTATTAGGCTGAGCATGGCTTTTCCCATTCTGTGCCTTCTATTCGGGGGGGGGGGTCTTCAGTGTGAAGTAACAGTCTTGCTGAGAGAATAAGAGAGTGATTGAATCATTCCGAAGCTTTATTTGTGGGATTTCATGCAGATTCCGAGGTGACGACTAGCGGGCTGTTCAACAATTTCTACCTGAAAGTGGCGGACACCGACGAGATCCATTTCGATCCTGACGAAGTTGGCTGGAAGGTCAGCTTTGGAATTTCAGAATGTCCTGAGTGAAAAAAAAAAGTGTGGGATGGGTTGCTTTGTAATAACCATCGATGGAGAAAGCGGAAACATCGTTAAACGAACGGTAAATATAAACGAACCATCATGAATTACAGTTTGGTAATTCATTATGGTTCCTTGCGATCAGTTGGGAGATGTGGGCTCTGGCATTGGTGGACTTCTTTGGTGGTTGGCAGTCAGCCTGTTGCCTGTGGATGAGTTGTTGCTAAAAAAAAAAATATTTACGATATCCCACCAGTCACGTCGTTACTATGGGATTGTTGACGGTTGAAATGTTCCCAGAGCCAGTGCGTATGAAAAAAATGGTCTTGACTGAAGGATGTTCTTGTTTCTCCCCCGTCGTGGCATTCTGGTTAGAATGGAAGCGCAAATCCCGGAAAATATGCTCTCGTGTGGGCCATGTAACATCTGGATTTTATAATCTACCACTTTTTTGGCACTCTGGACGCTTCTGCGACAGGCGATTACACAAGAGTCGTTTCGGTCTGCGACTTAGGTTCCAACCAGAAAACGTGCATTTGTGAAGTCGCCTGAGGAATACGTCAGTGACTAAGGGAATGGCCTTTTTCAGATCCACCTGCAAGACCCCACGGACTCGGACCTCATTGACATCCGCACTAATGGCTTCACCCTCTTCCCCGGCTGGAGCAAAGATGTCCGCATCGACCTGCGCGATGTCAGTCGCTTTCCGCGTCAGATTCCCTCCTTTGTTGCCCTGTGCCTCAATACAGCGCCTTGCATAATTTTTTTTCCCGGAAACAGTTCAAGACGCTGGACACGAAGAAGCGGCCGTGCGACGAGAACGAAGAGTACAGTGAGTCTAAGTGCAAGGCTGAATGCTTCGTGAGGGAGGTCTTTGAGAGGGCCAATTGCAGCCTCCCCTACATGACCAGTGAGTCGTTCCCTTCTCCTCCTCTCAGTTGTCGATTTCGTCTCTCCAGAAGGAGAGCCTCCTCCTTCTGGAGAGACGGAAGACAGGAGAGACATTCCCTCCGCCCAGTCCGGTGGCCCTCAGTCGTGAGCCGTTCTGTCGTGGCACGATGCTTTCTATAATTCATGGGTTGTGTCATTTCTCGAGTCGCGGCCCAACTGAATGAACCCAGTGTCACAGCCGCGCGTGAGGCCTGAAGTTGCACGATCGACTTGAGGACGCGCCGTGGCGCATCCTTGGAGATGCATCGTTTCTGTACACAGAGGCCTGGATGTAGAGCCCATATATTCTGCAGCTGCAGCTGACTTTCAAGTAAAAGAACTGTGGAGGAATGCTAACATTAAAAACATCCAGCTCCAATTCATGGGTTTTCGTCAAAACCGAGTCTCACTATGGGAGTGTCGACTTTTCAAGAAACATCAGACGATGTTCCATTTCCGTCACGGACGGACCCTAATAATTTTCCTTTCAACACCCTCAGGATTGGAAATTTACTCGGCTACAGAGGAAAAGTTTACCGTATGGCACCTCTTGATGTGCAGCTTTCAACCCGAACCATAACATGATATGCATGCCGGTTATTCCCACAGAGGTGATACCAGCGCCAACCTGCGACACCAAGGAGAGCTACGCATCCGCGACGAAGGCGGCGAACAGGCTCCTCTTCTGGGGGGAATGGAACCCGCAAGTCTGCGTCTGCGCCAGACAATGCGACCACAGGTACTACGTCCCCTTCGGAGAGTCCGTGCAGACCGGAGGGAACCGGTCCCGGCTCAGGATCTATTACGAGGTCAGTCCCGTTCCGTCGTGCTTTTTTAAATCATCGATTGCTCGATCTATCAAGTACGTATTTTCCTATGGAAATCGATGCTTCGGATCCGACACTCGGTCTCCCTCGCGGTCGATCCTCAAACTTCAGCATTCATAATTAGGTTGTTATGCTTCATGAACGGGATAGCGAAAAAAAGGGAGAAAGAGGAAAAGGGACTTCACCAGCACTTAACCCCTCGCTACGACGCCATAATAAATAGTACCATTGGCTAGTGAGGGTCAATGTTAGAAACACCTGGTACAAAAGAGGAGAGAAGAAGCTGCCAGACTGGAAGACCAAGTTTCTCGACAGCTTCTCCCTATTCCAATTCCAAAAATACTTTTTTATTCTTTTTTTTTATCAGCGGTCTTGGGAAATTTAGAGCATCCTAGGGTCTAATTTATTCATGATCTGTTCTTGCTGAACTCAGTGCCCAATTATGCAATGAGAAGTAGGATGCCTCTCAGGATTTAACGTGACGTGGTGCTGCCACCCTCGAAGACAAGCCACGCCCTGTTTGTTTTGCGTGCTACGCGTCCTCGTGGCGGAGTGCACGCATCTGCGTGCATGTCCGGTTGCGTTCGCATACGCGTACTTGAGGGGAAGCGTAACGGCTGCACGAAGGGGTAAAGGGAAGCATGCTGACGTTGGGGGGAATCGGACAGGATCTAACTCGAAACGCAATCGTGGCTCTCCAAATTACGGATTCATGTGGAACCCACCCAGGCACGCAAGTTATGTGTGTCACTGAGTCACATGTCTTACGTGCAGGAGACGCAAAGTAGGACACAGCCTTCGCCTGCCAGTGAAATCGGGAATGAACACCTAGGTCTTTCGAGTCGTTTGCGTCCCCTCCCCCATACAGTATGGGCCGACAGGACAGGCAGGACAAGAGACATCTGCGGCCAAGCCTAACAACGTGGACTTCCTTGTTTGGTCATGAGATGACTCTCGGTCGCACCCCACGAAGGTTCTTGGAAGTGGAGGAGGACCGGTGGAAGGAGGACCGGTGGACTGAGGGTGGAGACCCGATCCCATCCTCATTCCTAAGACAAACCATATTGCGTTTTCTGAAATGTCGAAATCATGATGCGTGTCATTTCTGAAACGACTTTTCGCGGAAAATGCCAAGAATCCTTTCAGTTACACGTTCGACGAGTATACGACAAGGGGTTGACATTGTTATCAAGATGAGTTGCAGAATCAACCTCTTTCCATGCATTGAACAATGAAAGAAATCAATCGCACGGACGAAGTTCACGTATAAGACTCCATCCTCAAAATGATATTTTTATTATTATATCCTGAATGGATTTCTTTGCATCGTCAAATAGTTTTCCCTTCAATCGCCCGGCTTGATGGTCTTTGTGGGAAAATTGGCTGTATAGGAGGCAGTTCATAAGATTTTGCTTCTTTTGACCTTGAATTTTGCATTGAGTTCCTCATATGCAAGGCACATCAAGCAAAATTCATAAACGTAGGAGGGAAGTCACATGATGCATCACAAGATGCATCACGAGATGCATCATATTATGAATTGATGCCTTCGGATTGCCTTACTTATCCCGCTCTAGATTCGATCCCGTGACCCCCCTTTCCAAGCCCTCGACGAAACGAGAATAGAGAAGAGGACCTCGGTGGCTCCAATTCCAAGTCTCTAATTGAGCAACTTCGAGAGCATTTTGAACTTGTGTAATCAAATCGATCGATCGATGGAGCTATTTTGGGCGTCATTCTTTCGACCCCGACGGAAGGGGAAGGGGTCGCTGTCGATGCGCGCTTGTTTCCAGCCTGCCACGCTATTAAAGTAATTTTGTCGTGTTTCTGTTTCGAGGAAAAAATGAATAGGGAATCTTTTCCGAAGTACCCCGAGAAAAATATAGGAATATTGGAGATTGTTTGCGGAGTATTTGATGACTCCATAGAGAATTCATGGCGTCCCGGATGAACGGCATGCCTCGAGGGACGTTCTTCGTCGGTTTTCTTCGGCCGTGGACTCCTCGCTTTCTCAACGGGTTTTGCACGGGATCCGTGCCCTCATTCGTGACGTTGCGTTAGTGATGTTATGCTGAGGTGTCCTCGTGGTCTGGGCTCGGTCCGGTGGGTGAATGGAGTTTGCAAGACGAGATCGATGATTCTCGGGGTCGGTCGTCGAAGTCGAGCGGGATTGTCCGAAGTCGGGCGTGGTCCTTCTCGGATTTCTCCTTTATTTCGAGGCCTTTCAATGGTATGTAACGATTTTTCCTCGGTCTTTTGACAGGCCAGGTCTTTGAGGGAAAAAAAAAGGTTTCATGAAAATTTCAAGGGAATTCTCTGGGGAAGATTTTCCTCTTCCCGACGTCTCTTCCCCGGAAAAACACACCGAAAACCAGAACGGAGGATCAAGCAAACGATGGCGGAATTTCCCAATAAATCCTGCAGAAATTAACTCCTGCATCGCAGAACCGCTAACACCCTCGAAGCGATTCTCCCTCCTCCGAGATATCCGAAATCCCCATCAATCGTTCATTTCCCAACTCGCAAATTCAATTAACTCCGATTTCCGTCGGAATCCCGGCAGCCGAGCCGGAGGTGCAAATAGACGGAACCGATCGATCCCTCCCCGTTCGGTCGTGCATTCAAATAGAGGCAAATCCCCGTTCGGGGAGATGTTCCCCGGGAGGAGATTCCCCGACAAAGCGGAGGAGGGAATTGCCTAATTAGGGAGGATCAGTCGAGGAAGATGGGAGAAAGCTTAACGCTCGACTTGTCTTCGCATCGTCGAGATCCTTTTCTGGAATAAACCTCTTTTTTCCTTCTTTTTTCCCAGTTTCATATTTCCTCCCCCTCGCCGGAACACTCGCCGCATCGGGATGAGCCGGGGATGAGCCACGTGTCTCCCTTGCAAAAACCGGCACGTAAGCTGGCTCATGAATATTGATTCGTTTCGGAGAGAAACTGCGACGTTCGGGCGAGAGTTTGACAGGGACGAAATCTTCTGAAGACTATTTTTTCCGGATCCAATTGTCAGGCTAAAACTTTTCCCTGCGATTTGCAATTGGCGCCGACGCAAAATGTGCTGAATCCGTTCTAAGCTGGTGAAAAAATTCGTCACTTCATCGAAGTCGCCTTTTGGGAGGCAGTAATAAGAATTGCGCTTATCGGGTCGGGGAAGCTTGTGAAGGCCTCCGAACACCTCACGCCCGGTCGCGTGAGGGGCGTGAGGGGCACTGGAGGTGTCGTCGTGTCTCTCACGCCGTCTCACGGCCGACGCGTCCAGAATTTCCAATCGCTTTCGGGAAGACGCCGTCCCGTGTCACGAGACAATCGCGTGTTGCGATGCATCACTGCGTCATGTGGGCCATATACATTATTTTATCACTACAGCGGGTATTATGTGCGGACGTGCGGTTTATTTTATATTTTTAATCTCGCTAAAGGGAATCCTGTCAGTCTCGTGCGTTACAACTTTGCCCTTTCCACCAAGGACAGCCGTGAATTAGGCATGCGGACTCAAGAGAGAAATATGCATTCTTTTCAGCGAATAACCAACCTTCCAAGAGGAAGTTTTTTTTTTCCCGCGAAACTTGCCAATTAGCTCCGATTTTATTGTCTCACTCGATTGTCCTCATTTGTTCCCAAGCTCCATTCCTCTCTCAGAGGGTTTTGCCCCGCATACAGAAATATTTGGCAGGAGGAATACTTGGCATCGAAAAATATTTAACCAAGTCCTACAAAGAAGGAAAACAGATGCCCCAGAATTTAAATAAATCCAAAGGAAAAATTTTTCTTCGGATTTAGAAGCAGAATGGATTTTCTTCCACTTTTGAATGCATATTACTTCTTGAAATCTTTTTTAAAGACTTACTTGGCGTGACAGAGGCGTATGAAGCAGCAACCAAAGAGCCGGATAGAAGTATCCTCGAGAGAGTGCATTATGCATGGATGTGTTGATTCGCCTGTTTCGCCATGCATGGGATTCCCTTCTCCGTTTCTCTAAGGAGAATATGGTTCAACTATTAGTGTAGCTGAATGGATTGCATATGAGATCGGGCGAGGAGGTGGCATTATTGATGATGCTGATACCCATCCACAAAAGAAGTGGAATACGTCTTCATAAGGAACAATCCCTCCTGGTGGGTGCGGCGAAGGATGAACGCAGGAACAAAGAAGTCAATCCCGTTCTTGTCAAAGACAAGGACATCGAATGCATAATTGCATTCCCATATGTAATCCCAGAAAGAGAGCAAGGCCCCCGCGTATTGCGTTGCCATCCCCGTGCTGACTCCCTCTCGGGCCGGCCGTCTCGTTGCAGGACCTGACCTTCGAGGACGTGGTGGAGGAGTACTCGTACACGATCATCCCGCTGCTCTGCGACATCGGAGGGACGTTGGGCCTGCTGCTGGGGGCGTCCTGGCTCACTTTCATCGAGTTCTTCGAGATCCTCGGCGGTTACATGACGACAGTGCGACGAATCCGGGTCAACTCCCCACCCACTTTCAAATGATTTGTTTGTTTTTTTTAGACGCAGTAGGTCACGGCTGGGTACGAATTGTCTTTGATCCCCTGGCACACACCGTTTCTATTGGATGACTTGAGATCATCCGTCTCTTCCGCTCGCTGATCGATGGTGGGTTGGAGAGAAAGCTGGGGCAGGGATGAGAGGAAAAGCACCTCGTCCCTGCAATTAGCAGTATCGTGCATTATTCCTGAGACGAGAATCCTCTCCTTTTATCCCGGGTTCTTGCATTCCCATATAGCCGCTAAGAGGCTTTTGAGTCCCTTTACGTAACAGTTCGTTAGTGGATAAAAGGGTGTACACAAACCCCCTCATAGCCTGTGATATTAGTAATAACAGGGAGCCTCGATCTAGAATAAGATAGCGTCACAACCTGGAGATATGACTCCCACTAATAGTTTGCTCTTCCCACATAAACTATGCAGCATGCGCCCGTTTATAGAACTGATGGCATTATGAGATAAGATATATGTTAAGATTTTATGAAATTAGGTCCCGCTTTAACGTCGAGGACGGCACGTCTGCGGAACCGCATTGAAACACCTCAGGCAATTCTTTCCAACCCACCACCTTTCAACACACGATACCGAGAGCATACCCCGAGCGAAAACCTTCGAACGGGAGCGAACCGGGAACCGAGCGCTCCTTGGTCTGAGCTCTCGGCTGGAGGCTGGCGATTCTGATGCCATTTCGACGTTCCGCGGGGCGAGGAAGCGTCAGCCGAATTTTACAAGGGTTGCAGTTCGAAAGGCACCGATTTTCATTATTATTCTCTGCGATACGTCTCTTCGGCTCGACGAAGATATTTTGAGATGTACGTCTGCGAATTATTCGCAGACGTACGCCTCGAAACCTATTCGCAAAAGCTTAACGAGCCGCGACATCTTTCCGCACCCGATATGAATTGAATCCTTTCGTGATACTGGCTCATTTTCTCTGGGAAAAGTTCGAACTGTGCAGGATTTCTCAACGGGGGTTCAACGTCAGTGCTGCTCAGTTTCGAGGGTGACGAGCCATCTGTCATCACGAACTCCACCTTCGCATTCAAGAAGTAAAAACTTGGAAAACATTGTGAACAAATACAGTCGGTGGGAATCGGCCAATAGACGAACTGCTGGAAGCTTGTATCTAGAGAGTCCTCGACATGTGAACGATAAGCTGCGACATTGCATATCATTGTTCTTCTATATTTTGCTTAGCATTAGGTATGCTCTCGAAGCTGCACGGTTTCTCTTGGAGACACGGGGATCTCATGCA